TTGCAGTTACAGACCAGGAACTCTTCATCATGACCTGATTTTCCTCCCATAAAAATCACAGCACATAATAAAGAGTACACCACACACATTACAGGGAGGCTCCTAATCCTTGTAAATTGCAGAAGCATGTGACGGATGGGATTAGAAAAGGTGTAAAAATATGTATGTAACATGGCTAAGAACAAATTCCTCAAGTATCAGTGGTCTGCAATGTCAAGACGGGCCCCAGGGGGGGCCAGTGAAATTTGAATTTTATAAACAACTCAAGGGAAAAAGAGCAGCAAATTCTAACATTGCTATAAGCAGTTAAGATCAATGTTTTGCAAAGAGCGGTAATTAAATTTGCACTTATAAATTAAGTCTTTGCGTCCTGACTGCAAATAATTCATTGTTGAGTCTCCAGTTATTTCCCTTCTTATACTTTTTTATTGAATGCAGTAATGTCTCTTGAACACTGAGTATCAAACTGGGTTAGGTGCTTCAGTCCTCACCGTAGTCCTGGGAGTTTTTTTTTTTTACAGATGATGCATCTGAAAGTCAGTTACACGACTTTCTCAAAGTCACAGACCTAGTAAGTGACTCAAATCACATCTGTTGGACTCTAAAACTTATGATCTTTTCATTTTGTCCTCTGTCTCTCAAATTAATAATAAGTGTAAAGACCACAATTGGTTAAGATCAGACAGTCAAGTGTCCCAGTCCAGCTGCACTCACCTATGTGACCTGGGATAAACCAGTTAGTCTCAATAAGTCTCAATTTCCTTGCCTACAAAATGGCAAGAATAATAGTACCTCCCTTATAGGGTTATTGTGAGTCAAATAATGAGGTAATCCATGTAAATAACTTAGCATGATAAGCACTCCACAAATTTTGGGTATTTTGATTGTCATTCAAACCACCACCACCTCCTGTCCATTCTTTGCCAGGTTCTCTGCTGAGCATTTTATGTGATTATCTTTTCAGTAGCTCTGCAAGGCAGGTATTAGATCCCCATTTGCACAAGGGAAACAGGCTCAGAGGGGTTAAGGCTCTTGCCCAAGTTGAACCCAAATCTGTCTAGCTCCAAAGCCTGTTGCTTTTTTAGCCATATAATGACTGTAAATTCCTTTCCTACATTTTTTGTGGTGCTATGGCAATGATGCCGATGTCAGTGATGGTGAGGTCAGTGTAGCTGTAGGTGTTGCCCACTGAGTAAGCAGCAGAACCAGGACTCAGCCCGGGTCTATGTGACTGCAGAAGCCAGGCCGCCCCTGACCACTCTGCTGTATGGCTTAAGGGGAAACAGTAGCTTGGTATTTATGGGTTGGCTAATTCCACTTATGAGAAGCTTGAAATTGGGGATACTTGGAAGAGTTATCCAGAGTTATATTTTTATTTTACAGTCTTATTCCCCAGTAGCTTCCAGAAGGCTTATAGTCTTCCCAATAACTTTTATTTCTAAGGCATTCCTGATTAAGTCAGAATTAGTTTGTAAGTTCAGACAGAATTAACGGGGCACTTGGGGTACAGAATAAATCTCTCCTTTTTGTGTTAATTTGGAAAGTCTCTGTGAAATGAGTAGATTGTTCCAGCCACATGGTAGAGCTCCATAAATCCATTGCTCATAGATTATATGAGCTCACACTTCCACCGTTCAGCAGAGTCATTAGTACAATGATTCTTCTCAACAGAATGAAGGAAACTTTATTTGATTCTCTTGAAATCATCTCTTCCAAATGAAATAGGGTTGGAATAACCAACAAAATTGTGAATAATTCAGATTCTGATCATAATTTCAACTAGAGCTTTTAGCACAGAGGCAAACTCTTGGCCTAGCCAGGAGGTGGCCAGACAATAAGCAGCCTTTAAACAACTTGCACGTGTTCAAGTTTCAGAGCTAAATGAACAACAGTAATTTGGGGACTGATTTCCCAGACTCCTTAATGAAGGTTTGTGTCATCTGCTCTGACTTGGTCTGATTTACAAAAGTGCCCTTGTACCTCGGAAAAACACATGGAATAATAGTGATGATAGTCCTGTGTCCGGCACTTTACATTTTGCAGTGTGCTCACTTGCACGATATTGCATTTGATCCTGAGAACAGCCCTGTCAGAGCTCTTCAGAAGCCTGGGCCCAGCTTGCAGTGAGACCCAAAGAACTGGCCTTCGGGACTAGAGCTCTCATCCATGGCAAAAATCTCCTTCTCCTGGAACTGATTCTATATGCTCAACTAACTTTTCTTTTAGAGAAAGGAGCCAATGTGCAGAATGAAATTCGCTCATGTGTTCCCATGTCTCTTCCTGCTCGGCTGTGTATAAACATTGTTGTAGAAGCAATTTTTCACTCATCTCTCTAAATCCATGGTCCTTCCTCACACTTACTCTTCTTTGTTTCTCCAGTGTTTACTACAGTTTTTAGGCAGGAGTAAATGCTCCCATTTTTGGTGACAGTTGAAATTAAAATGTGTATACGTTATCTTTGTTCTCATTGTAGTTAGGCAAGGACCTCATTCTCAGTTACTCATTAGGAAAAGAGAGACAAAACTTGGAGGGCAGGTATAAGGAGGTGGAGGGTAGAGGCCTATCTCTAAGTCTGAATTCATTTTCAAATGTTTTCAGCTAGGGATTGCTGAACATGCTGTACCTAAGGCCAGAAGGGTGCTAAGAGACACCATTATTTGTTGAAATCCATACTTGTGGGTTTGGAGGCACTGGCTTCTGTAGTGAAGATTGGCTGGAAAAGATGAGCTGAATGAATAATGACTGCTGAGGAAGTGGAGACTGCAGATGCTAGAAACTGCAGCCATAGCGTTCCAGTCCCAGCCCCTCTCCTGCTTAGCTGTGTGGCAGGTCAGGAAATCTCACTGTGGAATGGTCACCCTACCGACTGTATGCTGAGTTGACCTATGGCTTGGAGATAAGTCATGTAAAGTACCCAGCACAGTGCCTGGCAGGTGCAGATACTCATATATGAGAGCAAAGTCCAAATATCAATGGTAATGGTGCAAAGTTAGATTGTCACTGGGGAGCAGCCATGGCTCAGCATTGTTGGGGACAAAGTAAAGAGGGGTGACAGCTTCTCAGAGGCTGTGGTCCTTAAGCTCAACAACAACCAGAGTTTCTCTCTCCTTCCCTTGTAGATACTCAAAAGGAGCCTGGACACGTGTGTAGCACTGATACTTATTTTTAGGGGTGCCAGCTCCTCTGGAAGCCAGGAGGTTTTTGTTGTTTTTGCTTTAAGTCCCCTTCTCTCCTTACCCCCTTGCCCCATTTGAACTCAGCTGTGTAGTGATTCAGTTTATTTTGTTGAAAATTCAGTCCCCTAGGGAAAATATGATAATGCTGTCTCCAGACAGCTGTGTTTGGGAGCGAGACTGACTTAACCAGCTGGCTGGCATCGTTGGATCCCAAGGACCTGCCAACTCATGGAGAACAGCTGTTTTGGCTGAAATTCTTATCATTCTTATGACTTTGCTTCCTATATATCAGCTTCTGAGTTCTGCTTTTAAACACACGCACAAAGGAGAAAGGGCCATGAGAAGGACTCTGATGTGTCTAGGACCACCCACAGTTGAAGAGAACAAGGTGCCACCACCATCCTCTTGCTACTCATGATTGTTGGGAAAGAGAAAATCCAGGAGGAGGCTAGCTCCAAAGAGTTAAAAATGATAATGATTGGATCAGTGAATATTGATACCCTCATATAGCGGGGGTGTTACGCAACCATTAAGAATCATGTTTGAAGATTTTTTAGGGAAGGGGAAAATGTTACAATATAATGTTATGCAAAATGTGTGGGGTACAAAACTGTATAAAGCATATAATCCCAATTATGGAAAAGTGTTTTAACATTAAATGAGATAACTCATACAAAGCGCTTAACCTGGTGCCTAGTGTGGCAAATACTCAGGAAATCACAGCTACTGGATGCAAACTGTAACCACGGGGAACGTGTTTGCCTCATGCACTGTTATACCCAGATTGCTTTGTAAAAAGTAGATGCTCAAAAGATCTTTTGATTGTTGTTATTATTATATGCATTTGAAAAGGAATCGCGAAAATCTAAGGACATAGGTTTCTCTGTGATCATCTATAATTGTGGCAGTTTACCGCTCTGCCTCAGTTCTTCATTAGACGTGGTGAGGACAGTAGACAAAAAGATGAGAGTTGTCATGATTTTTGTCTATCATTTTCTTCTCATTTTTTACCCTGGACTTTTTATTTTAATAAAAGCTTCAAAGAAAAAAGTTCAGAAGAAAATAAAACTCAAATCTTAATAGTGGTTATCTCTAAATAGTGGAATTGAGCAAGGTTTTTATTTTCTTCTTGATGTTTTTCTACATTTTCCAAGTTGTCTGTAGTATTTATATGTTACTTTTATCATCAAGTAGGGGAAAAACCATCTTTTTCCCCCCTTTTAAATAAGAAAAAGAACGCTCAGCATCAAAGATGACACAGAGCTGCTGAACTAAAAAGGATGCTCCGTCTGAGGATGATTGAAGCCCGGGAAACGGTGCCCTGCTCTGGGCTTCTTTATGGAATGTTTTAATGCATTTAATTGCACTAAATTAATAATGCGAAATGCACTTAGTGCATTCTTCCCAGTCGTTAAGAATTGGGAAATAGAACCAATGAGGAAAAGTAAAGGGATTTTGATTAATTGGTTTTGGATAAAGGTGGTCAAAATACTTTGTGCTGTTAACAGACAGTGGCTTATATTTAGCACAGCTGCTTTCCATTTCCCCTAGAGAGAACAACAGAAAGAAGATCGGTGGAAATGGTAGCAGAAGGGGTTAGAAATGGGGGTGAATGGTTACCACACTCTGGGATATGCTTCCAAAGGAGAATTGTAAATGCCAGTTCCTAGAGATATTTAAAATAAAGTCCTGAGCAAATAAATGCTGGTGGTCTTTTCACATCTTTTTCTTGCTGGTTGGTAGACACCACCAAACTTTCAGTGTACCGGTTCGGGCCTGTGCTTTTTCCCCACGTGTAACCTTCTCATGAAACTTTACTTGCAGATATTTAACACAGTGCCTGATACACCTCTCACCAATGCCCAGCTGCACCTGTCTCGGAAGAAAAGTGGTGACTCCAAGCCCCCGTCCTGCAGCGAGAGGCCCCTGACGCTCTTCCACGCTGTGCAATCAGCAGAAAAACGTGAGTCCCGCCACTCAGGGCCAGCGTGGTGCTCGAGGGACGTCCATCCCACCTTCTGGCTGCTCAGGGTGCACCTCTCCCTGTGTGCTGCTGCCTCTTGTGTCCTTAAGGACTGCGTATCATTGTGCCCTCCCAGGTTCCACGGCTGAGTGACCCCGATAAGACGGGAGGCAGTACTGCTGAGAATGAAAGGCAAGGGCCGCTGGCTGTTCAGCACCCCCTGTCCGGAGCCCCTGTGGGCAAGCAGCTGAGCCCCCTTTCCTCCTGCTACGCAGTCAGAGCTCAGCTCAGCAGGACTTCTTCAGGCCCTCTTTGGTGAGGGGCTCCCATAGAACCAGTTTCTTCTCTTTTTCTTAGTTTGTAATTAAATGCTTGTTAGTGCAAGTCACATGCCCCACTAGAATGTGATGGCAGGACCTTGTTTTGCTCATCCTTCCACTCCGCTTCTCATCAGGCCTGGCATGGGGTGGACACTTAATAAATGTGTGAAATTAATTAATGAATTAATTAGAGAATAATACGCTCCTTGTTCCAAATAGCAGTGTTATCACCACAATTGTATCAAATCATTTTTTTCATCGCAGGATTTCTGAGTTCTTTGCCGTGATGAAGTTACTGGGCCCTAAAATATCCAGTCTTATTTAGCTTTTGTAATAAGAGAGTTGAGTAGTGTGGTGTAGGAGTTAAGGGCTCCAGCTCTGCCTGAAATCAGATCTGGGTTCTTGTGCAGCAGCAACACACAGGCATGCCTTTTACCTTCTCTCAGCCTCAGTTTCCTCGTCTGTAAAGTAGGGATAATAGTGCCTCTCTCACAGGGAAGTTGTGGGGATTAAATGAAATTATGCATTTAAGCATCTGGCATGAGGCCTGGACGTGGCCAAGGCTGACAGCTGAGAGCTGCTGCTATTATTATTAATTACTGTTTAATTACTGGTGGGTTCATTCACCAACCAGCATTTACACAGTGTCTGCCAGGGACTGCGAATATAAATATGGGACCTTATCTTGAAGGAGGTCACAACTGAGTAAGGGAAGTAGACAAGTGAATAGATAATGGTAAGTCAACGCGATAATTGCTCTCGTCAAGATATGTACATTCAGAGAGGTGGGAGAACGTAACGGTTGGAAGCACACACCAACACCAGATTGCCTTGGTGAGAGTTCTGCCTCTGCTGCTCACCAGCTTTGTGACTTAGGCAAGTTATCCAACGTCTCAGGGCCTCAGTCTGCTCTTCTGGAAAATAGGAATGATGAGAGTTTCTACCTCACAGGGTTGTTGTGAATTTAAAGCACTTCAAACGGTGCCTGGTGCAGAGTAAGTGCTCAGTAAATGCTAGAGGTATTATTATTGTTATTATTACCATTGCTACCTCCACTACTGATCTCTATGAGGTACTGTAAAGGCACAAAGCAGAATAATAACCCACTTTGCCTTGAAGAGGAGAGGCTCCATATCAAGATTGACATCTTTCTCTTCCTTTGTTACAAAAAATGTGTTTTATTCCCTTGTAATTCAGAAGTAATGGCCTTCCTTATCCTTACTCCTGACAACAAATCTCCCTGCCCCCAGGACGTAACTGCATTTAAAGATGTCATGGTATCCCATGCTGTGGCTGCACCGTGGTATACTTAGCACCATTCGGGTTGTGTCAGATATTTTGCTTTTATGAGTAAAGCTACTGTTATCATCCTCATAGCTAAATCTGCTCATATTCATGATCATTTCCTTAAGAGAAATTCCTGGAAGAATTTCTAGGTCAACAGACATGCACAATTTTCGGGCTTTGACGTCGTACTGGGATTGGCTTCCCTTCAAATGATAGCCTGGGTTCCTCTTCAGTATGTGTGTCTGCACGCAGCCTGGGCCTCTCCAAGCGCACAGGAACCCTTGGAACAGGCCTGGCCTCACTCACCTCTGCCACATCAAGGCGTCAGGCTGCGGGGTGAGATGCTTCTCAGGTTTCCAGGAGAGCCGGTGTCATCTCATGTTTTGTACCAAGCAACATACATTGCAGATCAGGACAGATCAGACAGCACTGGTAAATTCCTCTAAGCTTAAAATAGTGCTGAGTTTGCAGGTAAATTGAAGCAGAAGCATCTTTGGAACAGGTCTTAAAGCATACTGTGGGAGCACATAAGAAAGAAGATGGAGATTCGGAGAAAATCAGTTAGATCTTTGTCCAAGATTAATTTTGTCACACAGGCAGAAGATGAAAGGTAAGGACGTGTGAGAGCAGACCTGCCTCAGCCGCAGAACAAGCTGCCGTGGCCCCGTCTACAGATGGCAGACGGAAGGGTGCAAGCCGGGAAGCAATATATCTTTCCTCTGAGTATGCGGAAATGCTCCCTGGAAACGGGACTGGAATCTCCGTATGCTTGAATATTTGTGGGGTGCTTAGCTTTCCCCTCTTTCTCAGAGAAGAAATGTTTTCATTGTAAAGTATATAGGTATGTGTATATACATACACTTTTTATAGTTTGTTTTGGAAACAACTATAGTTTGTTTTGGAAACAACAGATTTTTTTTGTTGTTTTTGTGTGTGTGTGTGTGTGTGTGTGTGTGTGTGAGGAAGATTAGCCCTCAGACGTTAGCTGAGGGCTATCTTCCTCTACTTTATACGTGGGACACCTGCCACAGCGTGGCTTGATAAGCAGTGCGTAGGTCCGCGCCTGGGATCCGAACCTGCGAACCCTGGGCTGCCGAAGCAGAGCACGCGAACTTAACCATGGTGCCGGCCCTCTGGAAGCTGCTTTGTTTCTGGAAAACTGGAATGATATCCAAGCTGGCTTAGAAAGCACCATGGGAGGGATGGGTGGATTGATGCTGTGAGGAAGACTGGCCAGGAGCTGGAAGGTTCTGCTCGCACTTGCCTCTCCCATGTTGTCATCCAGCCACCTATCACTGTTGGATGAGCAAGTGACCGTGCTCAATAGAGTTTTCATATGCCTTACCCTTCCCTTTGTCTGTCAAAGCACTTTGCTGAGTTTACTCTTTGGAATTAAAGTACAGGTAAAGACCCTGTAGGAAACTGGTGAAAAAAAATCATCTATTTCCATATAATGCTGTTTTTTAGTTGAAGGCCTCTTTCCATACCTAGCTCAGTACTTCCCAGATTGAATCATTTACATAACCCTTCGTTCACTCTTTGGGCCACAACCACATAACTCATGCTCTGTTGTTTGTTTAATACATTTTTTTAAATCAATTTTAAAGGAACTCACTTCTTTATATAGCCTATTCCTACTCAGTAAAATCTCTAAAAATGTGAGTTTGATTGTCTCACTGTACTGTTCTCTAGTATACATTAAAGTAAATATGTAACCATTAGGATAAAAAATGTTCATCCGTATCTGACCTTCGAATCGTCTTGTGTCCTGCCTGTGGAATATGGACCACAGTGTGGAGTTCATAGACCTTGCTCTGAATTTTTGGCTGACTCAGATCTTTCCTCTTAACGTAAATATACAAATTCAAGTTTCTCTTATCCACTTAACTAGAATTGGGTTCAGATATTGTCAACTGGCTGTTTATATTGTGGTGGACACTCACCGTCAATCTGTCAATTTCGTGCTGTGCACTTTCGGTTCATTGTGACACCTGTCCAGGTTGGATGTGACCTTCCCTTTCTTCACATTCTTGCCGAGCAAATACCTTGTTAGAGGGATCACACTTGTGTGGACACATAGACACACACACACAAGTACATGTCCACATACCTCTCCTCTACCTTCAAACTTGGCATATGACATTTTTCAGAGCCTCATTTCCTCTTATGTCTGTCTGCCTGGTTTCTTTCTAATTCACTTCTGCTTTTTCCCCTCACTGATGTACATGCAGTGTAATATATTTCTCTGTATTCCATTGGTCAGCCCTCTCGTCAGTCCCCAGTGGAGACGCGTCGTGGGCCTGAAATTCTCGCGGTACCTCACGTGGGTGCCTCTCTTTGAGAGGTCCCCGGTATCGGTTGTCAGCACACATTTTTCTCCCACTTCTCTGCAGAGCCCCTGCTCTGTGCAGAGGTTGGAGCCCATTCTTTTCTCTCAGCCGTGAATCTGTGCCAGTACTCTTGACCTCGGATTGTCACGGAAGTATCTGACATATTAGTTTATGCTCATGGATATGTGTCTTATTTTCCAGAAGGAGGTTTTCCTTCAGTGTGGGTAGACCAGTTGTGCACCCAGGCACCTCCATAAGACTATTCTGCTTTAATCCTTGTGTAGTAGCGGAGTCTTTGCCAGGTGGCTCTTTCTTTTTCCCTCAGGGTAAAGCTGTCTTTATGATGACAGTGGTCTCTTACCAGAATGAGGAGCTGGATGCCTTCTCATACTCTGCCGGGTGGTGACTTCGGTCAATTACAAGGCAGCATGTGGCTCCTCCTAGATGGTCAGTGTGTGGTGGAAGTGGGGTAGGAATGAAATGGGAATAGTCTCTGAAATTAAAACTTTGTGGAAAAGAACAAAGGAAATGATGAGGAAATGAAGGATTTAGAAAGCATCATAGCAACAAATGCAAATCGTTAGGAAACCACTGAATATTGTCCTGAGGAGGGGACTGATAACCAGGTTGTCTGTAGCTAGTCAAGGAATGTTTTCTGAAAGGGCGAGTTTTGATAAAGATGCCAAAGGAAATGAGAGCACAGTCTGGCCCAGAGGACAGAAGGATAGTCTATGATGCTTCATAGAGAGAGAATAGAAGAGAGTCTTTCTGTAAGTAGCAGAGGGTAGCTCTTGTCTCTAGAACTGAGGGGAAAACTGTGGAAAGATATGTTCCCAAACTGAACTTGGAAAACATTCCATAGAAATTGACTTTTTGTTTGTATATGTTTAATATATATGGCTGCAAAATTTATCAAGTGGTTTCTCATGCTAGGCACTGCGCATAGCAACATCTCATTTAATCTTTACAATTGTATGACACAAGTACTGTCCCTATTTTACACTTGCAGGAAAATAAAATTTAAATAATAATTAATTATTAAATAATAATTAATTATTAAATA